ATCTCTTATCATCTATAAATTTAAGAAGTAAAGAACAGAGCAGAGTAAGGAAGGACAAGAGATCTAAGGGCTAGGAGGAGAAGGAGATAGTGAGGAGATATGTAAGATGACAAGAGTACCAAGGCCTGAAATACAGAAGCACCAGCTAAAAATATACATACAAAAAACGAAGAACAGAAAAGGGCATATAAAACATTTTAATCAGACAAATCATAGGCATTCTATATGAGATAAAAGAAAGCCAATAATCCATCGCAAAAAGGCAATTTGATGACCTAAACTAGAAAATTATAAAGTGATAGCCAAAGAGAGAAAAAACAACCCCCAATTTACACTTTACATACATTATAAAAAAAAAAAATGAATTAATAAAGGTAAGACCACACCTTGAATATGGTGTGCAATTTTGGGCACCTGTTTTAAAGAAGGATATTATGGTACTAGAAAAAGAGCAGAGGTGGGCTACAGAATGAATAAAAGGAATGGAACATTTTAGTAATGGAGAAAAGTTAACAAATTGAAATATGATTAATTTAGAAAAACGGCACCCCTGAGAGCATATGATAACATTATACAAATATATTCAGTGGCAAATACAAACCATTGTAGGGAAATCTATTCATAAACAGAACTATGCATAGGACACATGGTCACACATGTAGACTGAAAGAAAGATTTAGTCTAAGGCAACACGGTGCCTAGGTAGATATCAGCTATGCCTCACTGATGATGCCTAACAAGGCTGAAACGATCGTCTGGGGTTGCTGTATCTCTCGTGCAGAGAGAACTTGCTGGCATTTCAGATCTGGACTGCCCGTATGGGTCGGACCAGTCTGATATGCTTCAGATATGTTCTCTCTGTAATGGCACAAGATGAGCAAAAATCAGCTTGAGAACTGAGCGGGGACCGACCGAAGGGCAGGCTATTTCAGCTGCTGCCCGTTCTCAGTATTCTCTTGTGACCCATTTTTGACTCAGGCAACAAAAATGTTTTTTTTACGGTAAGAAAAATACGGATGTGTAATTCTTCGCCTGAAGAGGTGGGTTTATCAGAATCGGTTCATATGTTTAAAGAGAAACTGAATAAATACTTGCAAAAGCATGTATTCAGGGATATACATTTTAATATGTATACTTACAGTTTCTTGATTCAAGGAGAGATCTGACTGCCATTCTCGGATCAAGAAATACTTTTTTCCCTAGTTTGTTGTAAAATTGGAAAGTGCTTCAAACTGTTTTTTTGCCTTCTTTTGGACTAACAGCAAAAACCGATGTGAGAAGGACTGGACACATGCACTTTCCTTTTTACTTAACATACACACTGTCTGGTTGTCTGGACCAAATGATTATTCTGTCTGTCAAGCTACATTGTCATTTAAGATACTGCTGCAATATTTGTTTTGTCAGTTTTATGAAACTATGGAGTATTTATTAACTCTCTACATTATAATGGCATTTACTTTTTTTCTCTCTTATATGTGCCTCCTGTAATTTGCATTCCTATAATATGTGGCCATCAAATAGTCTTCTTGTATCGCTTTTTTTGGTTAGTGCTACTGAGTGGTTGTCAGACCTCCATTCCATAGGCAAGATAAAATAATTGGGAGACAATTTGTTTTCAGAAGCACTTCCAAAAACAAAATTGTTCAATTAACTAAAATATGTTAATAACATTTAATAGACTATGAACAGTCTGGACATATGCATGCACACATTAATAAAACATATTTTAAAACATTAGCTGCAATTGAAATTATAGATGGCAGATTGTCTATTGGCTTTGATTTACTTGCTAGACACAAGGTTTTAGAGCAATGGACATATTTAGACAAATTAACTGCCAATCCTTTATGACGTGTTAAACCATAAAATTTGCAATAGCAAACAGAAAGCATTTAATAAATGTTCTAAAATGAATATAAAAAAGGTATACAATAAATTAATAGAGGTAATTTTTTATTCTGAAACTGGAAGCTTGATATTATCACCTTATATTATCTTTAGTTTTAGACACAATAGTAAAAAGTAAGAAAAAAAAACAAGAAAATATTTAGTTCTAAGTGCTATGTAAAAATATTTTTATGTGTCTCAATGACACCTACTGAATGTGCCTAACTATCTGATGAGTACCTACTTATGACAATTTTCTATAAGAGAATCGATGGCTGGACTGCCACACAGGGATACAGGGAAATTTCCCGGAGGGCTAGCATACAGGCCGGTACAAACATAAGGCAACACAGGGGTCCGGTCCACTTAGGGAATGCTGGTGCCATCGCTGGGTGACTGGAAAAAGGGGAGCACAGAGTACAGCACTCCCCCAGGGAGACATCTTTGCCTGTTTAGGCAAAAGTCCTTGCACCGGTCTTACATACTTGAGGCTACAGGCAACTGCTGTGGCTTAAAAAAAACATATAGAAATTCAAGAGGTTTGCGGAGTCAGAGAGGAGTGATGATATCCATTTTACTGTGCTAGGTGTCATGCGGTATCTCTTCCGAGTTCGGCACTTCCGCATTGTGGAGCCGGCCCCGCCCCCTTCTGACATGGCTCTGACAGTACTTAGGGAGACCGCGCCAGGGAGAGGGCGCTTGGTGATTGTGGGACCTACTTCCGGGTATACACGCCTGCTCCACAAGCTCTGACAAGCGTCCCAGCCTTTGAGCCAATGCAAGGATTTCTGCAAGCCATAAAGGATTATTGGAGAATGGATACTTGCTAATTTACAAGTGGACTATAACTCTGAACTCTTGGAGGACAACTCACCTTAACCTTAAGTATATCTTTCAACTATTGTCTACAATATCATTTATTAATGAACCAATTCCTGCTTGCTTAAATCTTCTCTACTTCAAGTTACTAATTATATGGAGGACAACTCCCATCATGCTTATTTACTATGAACTGTTTCTTGCTTTGCAAATACTCTCTGCTACCTGCTTAATGTTTCTATTGAAGATTATTCCAGCAACCTAAAGAATCTTATTAAAAACTTCTCTGAGGAAATACTTATTAATGAACTTTGTATTGTTTGATAACCTGCACTTTCTTCTTATTGGATTATTGCCTATATGCAATTCATTTAAGTTTATCAATCATTAAAACTTTGTTTGATTTTCAAATTGCCAGCAATCCTCTCTTTTCTTAAAGCTACAGTATTGTTACTTTAAAGATTCTTTGTTTCTTTACTATTGTAATTAAGGAGTTCTACAAGCTGCAGTTAAGTTCCAATCCAAATAACCCAAGTAACATAACACTAGGTGACTGGCTGCTCGGCCACCCCCTAGTGCAGCACTACCTCTCCTGGGTCACCTCGGCCACCTAGTAGAGCAGCCACAAGTGTGATATATTGCCCGGTGCCAAGTGTCATGTAGCCTCAAAACTGTTTGTAAGTATGGAATGTCGAGTCTGGTATCCCAGTTACCCCCTGTCTGTTAACAGGAAATCCTCAAAGTGCAGCAAGAAGGAGCCTGTGCTCCTAGTCCTCCTGGACATCGGGGATATGAAATCCTGGATCCTTTTCCTCATAGTTAAACAGGTATATTCCAGTAGGATATTTATTTTGTGTGTAAATAGTTTTTTTTTGTGTTTGTGTACATAAATTATATGTCATGATAGTGTGACAGTGTGTGACAGTATGTGTCAATGAGAATGTGTGCCAGTGCCTGTGTGTGTGTTTGTGAGTGCCAGAGATTGAATGTGTGTAAGTAACATTGTGTATGTCAATCAGAGTGTGATGTGCCCTTTTTCGCACATCCTACCTCCTGTTGGTTTCCATGCCCTTCAATTCACATATAGGTTATCTATTAAGCAATACGACAAGTTGCACAATATTATTAGTTTTTAACCCCTTAAAGACACATGACATGTGTGACATATCATGATTCCCTTTTATTCCAGAAGTTTGGTCCTTAAGTGGTTAAATAAGTATAAAGATGAGAGTAACAGGGGTAGTGTCTTGGCCACCATCTTAGCTGGCCACATTTAGAGGAGCTCCATTGACATTGGGACTAAATGTTCCTAAACCATAATTAATTTTATTGATCTACCACTTTTATTCATCAACATCACTTGATCAAGAACATCTATTGTGCATGCAGAGAGAAGATCTATTGTGCATGCAGAGAGAAGAAAATACTGAAAACTGTTCCTGCAATGAAGAAATCCGAGAGGACTGCTTCAGGGGTGAATAAGAGTACTCAGGTTCACTCCCCATTCTCTATACAAGTGCTCCGGACCCTCCACAGTGTCACTGGATACCCATGCACCCTCTCTCCCCTCCACAAAACCGAAAACCTATGTGAGCGCAGCAACAGCCTGCTCACATCAACATTCAGGCGGCAGCTGCTGCTGCGAGTGCAGCGGGAGTGAGGGGCAGGCACTTGGGCTCCGGGCACTTGACAGCTTCTCCCGTGAGCGATACTGCATGCATGCTGGACTGCAAACCATCTAATGTAAAAGCGACCAGGTCGCTCAGTTATACAAGCGATTGGGCTGCTGACAGGAGGGGGGGTGCGGTGAGGTCCCGATCCCCGATGGGACCCTAGGCCTTACGAATATCAGTCCCGGCGGGGGGTCCTCATCCCCCACCCACACAAACTTAAAGACACAGAAGATTCCCCAAGTGAGGAGGAAGGGGTCACAGAAAACCTCAATAAACATTTAATGGAGATAGAACAGGCAGATTCCAACAACATTAAAGTGACATTACTGCCACTTCCACAAAGGCATTCTGCCACCACCAAGATGGCTGCCACAAGCAAGCTTGATACTGCCACCTCTAAGATGGCCATCATAATTACAGAAAAAAAAAGTAATTTCCACTGGAACTGCTGATTATAACCCAAATATGCCAGCTGAGATGGCGGCAGGTCTACTAGCTTCAGCTGACATACTAATTGGCCTTACTAAAAATTTAAGAGTTGAAATTAGAAATGATTTCAAAAAGGGCTTTGATGCTATTTATGGATTTATGGATGACATTAATTCTAGAACTGAAGATGTCGAAAATAGGCTCCATTTCCAGAAGCAGTCGCACTTGGACTTGGAGGAGAAGGTTGAAAACCTTCCAAAACGAATTAATCAACAGATGTAAAAATCATCAGATGCGGAAGATCGGCGCAGGCGTAACAATCTACATATCAGGGGAACCTCAATTCCGTTAGAACTGCCTAAATATTTCCAAACAATGGTGAAGGCAGTCAAACCCAATGCTACCAACTTTGATTTGATTTTAGACCGCATAGCTTGCCCAAGCCCAATAGTGCACCTGCAGCGGCTCCCAAGGATGTAATAGTTTGCTTCCACTATTACCATGTTAACAAGGAATTCTTGGGAGCTACACGAACGTCTGGACTACCTGAGGAGTATAATAACGTGAAGATCTTCCCAGACTTTTCAACCTACACTAAGAAGAAACATAGGGAGTTCCAACCCTTCACATCCAAACTTCGTTGCAGGAATATCAGGTTGGGTTTCTCAATCAAAGTGCTGTTTTGGATGGATGACCAAAACTGCATCATCACCTCTCCAGAAGGAGGTATGGAACTCAGACCCATACTTTATCCCCATCTATGCCTGCACCTTACAGAATGAGGAGCAAGCATGATTCTTATGATGAACCATGATCCCTGAATCCCGTCTGCTGTTCCTGGTTTCTAATTCAAGTAGGCGTCCCTTTCTTTGGTCCTGGTTCTTCACTTTTTTTCTTCTTCTTCTGAGGTTCCAGAATGCTGCTTCCTGATGTCCGGCTGAGGAGTTTTGCATATATTCTGCTCGTATGATTATTTCTGTTTTTTGGATTTACTACGATGATTCACTCTTTGGATACTGCTTCCTGTCTCCGGACTCTGTCCCTAGTTTGTTTTTACCACAAACTATAACTTTTTCTGACTTTAATTTTTTCTTTTGTCTTTGAGACCTTCCCATTTTTATCCTCTTTTTTTTTCGCTCTCTCTCTCTTATTTTTCATACTCCGATTTTGTTTTCTTTGTTGTAGTTTTCTTTTATTATTTTATTAATATCTCTTAATGTATTATATATTCTTCTTTTTGCTCTTTCAAATTTTTAAGAGCACCATTTACTTCATAACCCTTCATTATCTTAAATTTTCTCTTTTATTTATTTTTCATATTGCCCAGTATCCCCATGTTCCTCTTCCCTCCCTCCCCCCCCCTTCCAATGTATGCCTGTAATTTTTTTGGAGATGGAGGAAATTTTTACTTCTCCTCTCATAGCCTTATTATTTGTATTTTATTCTTTTTACCCCTAATTTGGGATATTACATTTTCAATTTCTTTCTTGAAAGGGGATTTTCTCCCAATTTTTTTTTTCACTTTTATTATTTAGGTTTTGAAAATACAGATGATGATATCATCCATAATGTAATGTCCTATGTTTTTTATGCAATTACTTTGTAAAATATTGCAGTTATACACAGAGTCAAACATAAATCGGTCAGGTGGACCTTACTATCTCAGGTAGGACTGTTTTATTTTAAAATTTGTTTCGAATTGTGTGATGCGTTTAGATCTCTTCACAATTTTTTTCTTTTGTTCTTATTTGCTCTTTTTGAGTGATAGAAATGGTTTAAAATTTTTTCTCATTTAAACACACTCCACACAAATGCAGACTTTTATTTAAAGAGGTGAAACGCAATAAACCTGAGGTGTTGTTTATTCAGGAGAATCATTTCAAATCAGATAATTTATCTACCATTTTGATGAAAGATTACCCCACCCAGTATTTGTAATAAATCTTGGGGCATCTCCATATTTTTTTGGTATAAATGTAGCTTGCCCCACAGATGACGTTACTTTGGATCCAGACGGCAGATACTTAATTAGAAAAGGTACCGTAAATAGTATTGAATACACTCTGGTAAATCTGTATTTCCCTAACTCTGGGCAATTTTGCTTTTTGAACTCTATTGTTGGTAAAGTTTCAGATGGAGTCAGAGGCAGATTGATTTTGGGTGGTGACAGCAATTTTGTTCTGTATTGTGAATACAATATTATCAGAGATGAAAAAAGCGCAGTTAAAAATCACAACAGTGAAAAATTGGCTGATATTTGTTCAAAATGTCTTTTTTCTCAGGGCCTATTCGACTGTTGGCGTGTACAGCATGAAGGAGAGAAAGACTATACCTATCACTCAGCAGTTTATAACATGTATTCTCAAATTGACAGGTTCTTGGTGGGTGAGAATATACCCCTTGTCTTGCACTCTTAAATTTCGGACATTACTTGGTCCGATCATACCCCCATAACAATGTGTATAGAGGAGTCTTTCCAGTTGAACCCAGACAGACAGTGGAGACTTAGCGATGATCTAGTTACTTAGCTTGAGAACAAAACATTGGCTGAATCAGGGATTAATAATTATTTCAGGGAGAATTCAGCTCTATATTTACAAGATACCTTTTTGTGGAACGCCCATAAAGCAGTTCTTATAGGACATTTTATACAACGAGCCTCTTACTTGAAAAAAATTTGGACTAATAATTTGAGAGATCTAGAAAAACTAAATTGGGCCTTCCTTGCCTCTTGCTGCAAAGATTTCAGATGTTAAGGTTAAAATTAACACTCTCCAGTTGGGACACACAGCCTCGATGTTGAGGAGATTGAAACAGGTTTTTTTTCTAATCGGAATAGAGCTTCTTCAATGTTAGCCTCTAAACTACACCACAGGACTTTCCACTCCAGTATTGAACATTTACTGGATGAGAGTGGCGTTAAAGTAACTCATCCGGTCAAGATAAGCAATATGTTTGCGGAGTATAACAAAAAAAATTTAGAATTTGGATTCTGATCCCACGTTGATACAGCCCACATCTGACACAATACTCTCTTTTCTGGACAGGGTCTCTTTAAAACAGATACCTACGGATAAATTGGATACTCTAAATTCTCCTATTATCGCTAACGAAATTAGGGATGTCATTACTATGATTCCACAGGTTAAAGCTCCCGGGACCTCATGGCTTTACAATGGTGTGTTATAGGACTTTCTCCAGCATTCTTATCCCTTATTTAACTTAATCATTACTGGAACACAGGTGGAATGCCGGGGGAGGCCTTGTGCACCCAAATAGTTATACTACCTAAACCTAGTAAGATACCTAATATATGTTCCAATTTTTACCCTATCTCATTAATTAATAATGATACTTAGATTTATTCCAAAATCTTAGCAAACAGACTTAATCGACTTCTTCCATACCTAATTGACAAAGACCAGATGCGTTTTGTTATGAACCGTCAGGCTCCGGATTGCACCAGGCATTTCATCAATTTGATTAATCTACTTACATGCCTTCTTTACTCCTATCTTTGGATGTTGAGAAGGCGTTCGATAGGATCCATTGGGATTACCTAAAGGGAAGTTCTGTCGCGTTTTAACATCCCAGATCCCTTCATCAAGGCTGTGTTTGCACTATAATGTCAATCATCTGCGACTGGTTTTGTTTCCGAAAACTTTTCATTGTCCAATGGGACCAGACAGAGGTGCCCTTTGTCTCCACTCCTGTTTGTGTTGGCAATGGAACCCCTGGCTGAGATTATACGCTGCAGCACAGATATCGAAGGTATTGTAGTTGGGGGAAGGAACATAAAATAGACCTTTTTGCAGATGACATCATGTTATCACCTAAAAATCCAGTGTATTCATTTACCCTGTTGATATTGATCCTGCAAGAATTTGGTGAAATTTTGTTCTACAAATTAAATACAGCCAAAACTCAAGCTCTCTCTTGGTATGACCTAGATATGCTGAAATGTCGTTTTGACTTCGACTGGAGGAAATATTATATTTCTTATCTGGGCATAAATTTATGCAAGAACCTGTCCAAGATGCATTCTTATAACCTGGGTAAGGTCTGGTCCGATTTTAGGAACAATCTCGAGTGGTGGTGTAGTCTGGAAATCTAATGGTTAGAGAGGGTTAATTCAGTGAAAATGACTCTCCTTCCCAAAATTTTATATTTTCTTATAGTCATTCCTCTTTTGATTCCCTTATCTTTTTTTCAAAAGGTACATTCTGCTCTCTTGAAACTTATCTGGAATAAAAAACAATCTAGGATTAAATAATCCATACTCCAAAAGCTCAGGGTTAGTGGGGGTGTAGGTTTGCCAGACTTGATTCATTATTATTATGCAACTAATGCAGCGATGGTGCTGAAGTTCAACCAAGAGCATGATATTTTATGGCTGCTTCCATTTCAGTTCACAAGGTTGGCGGACATGTTTCTTACGACCAAAACCACTATTAAGGCTTGGAATATATCATATCGAAAAATTCACCCTTCTGCCGTTTGGTCTAGAGGCACTCCTCTAGCTGTATTAAAAGTGACCATTCCTGAACTGGATGTAGAATATTGGTTCTCTCACTGTATTAAAGGACCACTATTGTGTCAGGAAAAAAAATAATTTTCCTGGCACTATAGGGTCTTTAGGTCTCCCCCACCCTCTGGGTCCCACTCTTGCCAGGCTGAAGGGGTTAAACACCTACCTTTCTCCAGCGCCTGGCTCCCTCGGTGCTGGGGAACTCTCCTCCCTCTGCCGATGTCAGAGCCGAATGTGCGCGCATTCAAACAGTCTATGGGAAAGCATTTCTCAATACTTTCCTATAGACGTCCAGCGTCTTCTCACTGTGATTTTTACAGTGAGAAGCACGGAAGTATTTTTGACACCCCTGCACATGCGAAATTGGTTTAAAGGATTAGTGAGCATTTCTGGATTTCTAGAAAATTGGAATCATCAAACTTAGAAAAGGTTTATAGCTTAGATCCTAGCCAGAAACTAACCATTTCCACGTGCAACGCTTTTTTTTTTGTAGGCAAGGTAGGTTTAAAACTACTGTATATAACAAAGTGGGAGAGTGACCTGGGTGAGGTATTCACAGTGGAAGATTGCCATTTACCATTATTAGCATTGAAAGGTGTTACCCATTGTATTTCACATTTGGAAACCCATTTGAAATTAATCTACCGCTGGTATTTCTCCCCATTTAAAATGTTTAGATTACACCTCTCCAAATCTCATTTATGTTGGAGAGGCTGTGGACAAACTAGTACTTTATACCATATTTTTAAGTCATGCCCAAAATTAGCTTACTAACTGGCAACAAATATTAGAATTAATCATAACCATCACTGAATTGCCTGTTGACTTAACACCTAGACTATGTTTACTCTAACATTTCCCTGACGATTTATCTGCACATAAAAGAATAATGTTAGGACACCTCCTTATCTTGGCTACTTCAATCATACCAATAAATTGGAAATCAGTTACCATTCCCTCTGTCAAAGATGTTTTACTAGCTTTGTTTGAAAACAAAAGATGTGAGCTTGCTCTTCGAGTACCATCTGCAACCAATGTACTGCTCTGAATGGGAGAAAGCTATGAGGAATAAGTGTAAGCTCGACAATATGTCCACCTGACCGAAAAACTTTCCCCCCCCTTTTTTTACTTATGTTTGACACCTAAAATGATATTCTTTTAATGTAACGGAATGCCTGGCACCCCGACGGGGTACATTCCACTGTCCTCTTGTTGTGGTAGTTTTTCTTATAAATATATTCTTCTCTTTTACTGTGTTGATTCCCTTTTGTACTTAAATGTTTCTATCATATCCCCACTGTCTTATCTTTCCTCCAAGCTATACGTTAAGATCATTTTTACCTTACATTGTAAGTTTTATCCTGTAATCCATGAACCAGTTTAGTATCCCTTCTCTGAACTCTCTCTAAAGTATCAATATCCTTCTGGAGATAGGGTCTCCAGTACTGCGTATAATACTCCAAGTGAGGTCTCACCAGTGCTCTGTACAATGGCATGAGCATTTCCCTCTTTCTACTGCAAATTCCTCTCCCTATAGAATCAAACATTCTGCTAGCATTTCCTGCTTCTCTATTACATTGTCTGCATACCTTTAAGTCATCTGAGATAATTACTAGAGTTGAGCGAACCCAAACCGCAAAGTTCGGGTTAGTACCAAACATTGCGTTTTGTGGACCCCGGACCCGAACACGGACATATCACTGTATGTTAAGGTTGGAGTTCGGTGTTCAGCGATTTAATGGCACGTTTTGAAAGGCTGCAGGGCAGCCAATCAACAAGTGTTTGACTTGTTTGCCTTAGAAGCCATCACAGCCATGCCTACTAATGGCATGGCTGTGATTGGCCAGTGCAGCATATGACACAGGCTCTCTATATAACCTGGAGTCGCGTAGCGCCACACGCACATGAGCTCTTATTAGTGTAGGGAGAGGATGCTGCAGCTGTTAGGGACAGATTAGGAAAGAATTCTGCAAACTTGTACATTAGTGGGGTGCACTTCATATCTGAGAGTCAAATAGAAGCATCAAATACTGCGGTTACATCGGAGTTTTAAAAAGTTAATTTTTTTGGGTGCTAAATTGTACATTTGGGGCATGCTCTTCATATCTGAGAGTCAAATAGAAGCATCAAATACTGCTGTCACATTGCAGTTTTAAAACTTACAAATTTTTGGGTGCTAAAAAGTACATTAGTGGGGTGCACTTCATATCTGAGAGTCAAATAGAAGTGTCAAATAGTGTGGTTACAGCGCAATTGTAAACATTCTTTTTTTCTGGGTGCTAATCTGCTAAATAGTAAATTTGGGGTGTGCTCTTCATATCTGAGAGTTAAATAGAAGCATCAAATACTGCGCTTACAACACAGTTTGAAACATTCTTATTTTCTGGGTGCTAATCTGCTAAATAGTAAATTTGGGTCATGCTCTTCCTATATAAGAGTCAAATAGAAGCGTCAAATACTGCTGTCACATTGCAGTTTTAAAACTTTTAATTTTTTGGGTGCTAAAAAGTACATTAGTGGGGTGCACTTCATATCTGAGAGTCAAATAGAAGCGTCAAATAGTGCGGTTATAGCGCAATTGTAACTATTCTTATTTTCTGGGTGCTAATCTGCTAAATAGTAAATTTGGGGCGTGCTCTTCATATCTGAGAGTCAAATAGAAGCATCAAATCAATAGGATTAGTTTGACATGACCTTCCTGAAGTAAACCCATGTTGTCTCTGATCTTGAAATCCATGTGATTTTAGATGTTCAACAATCCTGTCCTTTAACATGGTTTCCATTACTTTCCCACGACTGAGGTAAGGCTTACTGGCCTATAGTTGCCTGACTCCTCTCTACTACCTTTTTTGTGAATGGGCACAACATTCGCTAACTTCCAATATTCTGGGACTACTCCTGTTAACAATGATTGGTTAAATAAATCTGTTAATGGTTTTGCTAGTACACCACTAAGCTCTTTTTATTAACTTTAAGTGTTTTCCATCAGGCCCCATCGACTTATTTGTCTTTACTTCTGACAGTTGAAATAGAATCTCTTCCTCTGTAAACTCACATGTAACAAATTACTAATTTTTCATAAAGGTCCCTCTCCTTCATTTTCATCTGTAAATACTGAACAAAAATATTAATTGAGGCAGTCAGCTAGACCTCTATCCACCTCTACATACCTTCCTTCTTTGGTTTTAATTTAACTAATCCTTGTTTTACTCTCCTTTTCTCATTTATGTATCTAAAAAAAATGTATCCCCCTTTTTTACTGACTGGGTTATTTTTTCTTGTGTGTGTGACTCGGAAGCCCTTATAATTTGCCTAGCCTCTTTCTGCCTAATCTTATAGATCTGCCTATCTTCCTCACTCTGTTTTTTTTATTTTTCTAATTACAAAATGCTATCTTTTAGTTTTTTTTTACTATTTTGGCCACTTCTGGGGAATACCACAGTGGTTTCTTTAATTGTTTTGCTCTTACTGACAAGCCTAATACAATTTTCTTTTGCCTTCAGTAGTAAAAAGAACTGTAGTGGCAGTGCATGTGATTTACTTAAATTTTGCCAAGGCGCTTAATACAATTTCTCACAATAGGTAATTATTTTTAAATCTATAGGGACAGGCATATGTGCCTGTGCTCCTGACCCTATAGTGTTCTTTTAATAGTGCATTTTCAAGTTGGACAAAAGTGATAAGTCGTGTAACTCAGGGTTCTGTTGTGGGACCTCTTCTATTTAACATATTTATAAATGATTTTGAAATAGGTATTGAAAACAATTTTTGAGGCTTTGCAGATGACAGAAAACTCTGTAAAGAATTACAATGTGAGCAGAATATTACTTTGCTGCAGATGTACAGGGAGTGCAGAATTATTAGGCAAGTTGTATTTTTGAGGATTAATTTTATTATTGAACAACAACCATGTTCTCAATGAACCCAAAAAACTCATTAATATCAAAGCTGAATATTTTTGGAAGTAGTTTTTAGTTTGTTTTTAGTTTTAGCTATGTTAGGGGGATATCTGTGTGTGCAGGTGACTATTACTGTGCATAATTATTAGGCAACTTAACAAAAAACAAATATATATCCATTTCAATTATTTATTATTACCAGTGAAACCAATATAACATCTCAACATTCACAAATATACATTTCTGACATTCAAAAACAAAACAAAAACAAATCAGTGACCAATATAGCCACCTTTCTTTGCAAGGACACTCAAAAGCCTGCCATCCATGGATTCTGTCAGTGTTTTGATCTGTTCACCATCAACATTGCGTGCAGCAGCAACCACAGCCTCCCAGACACTGTTCAGAGAGGTGTACTGTTTTCCCTCCTTGTAAATCTCACATTTGATGATGGACCACAGGTTCTCAATGGGGTTCAGATCAGGTGAACAAGGAGGCCATGTCATTAGATTTTCTTCTTTTATACCCTTTCTTGCCAGCCACGCTGTGGAGTACTTGGACGCGTGTGATGGAGCATTGTCCTGCATGAAAATCATGTTTTTCTTGAAGGATGCAGACTTCTTCCTGTACCACTGCTTGAAGAAGGTGTCTTCCAGGAACTGGCAGTAGGACTGGGAGTTGAGCTTGACTCCATCCTCAACCCGAAAAGGCCCCACAAGCTCATCTTTGATGATACCAGCCCAAACCAGTACTCCACCTCCACCTTGCTGGCGTCTGAGTCGGACTGGAGCTCTCTGCCCTTTACCAATCCAGCCACGGGCCCATCCATCTGGCCCATCAAGACTCACTCTCATTTCATCAGTCCATAAAACCTTAGAAAAATCAGTCTTGAGATATTTCTTGGCCCAGTCTTGACGTTTCAGCTTGTGTGTCTTGTTCAGTGGTGGTCGTCTTTCAGCCTTTCTTACCTTGGCCATGTCTCTGAGTATTGCACACCTTGTGCTTTTGGGCACTCCAGTGATGTTGCAGCTCTGAAATATGGCCAAACTGGTGGCAAGTGGCATCGTGGCAGCTGCACGCTTGACTTTTCTCAGTTCATGGGCAGTTATTTTGCGCCTTGGTTTTTCCACATGCTTCTTGCGACCCTATTGACTATTTTGAATGAAACGCTTGATTGTTCGATGATCACGCTTCAGAAGCTTTGCAATTTTAAGAGTGCTGCATCCCTCTGCAAGATATCTCACTATTTTTTGACTTTTCTGAGCCTGTCAAGTCCTTCTTTTGACCCATTTTGCCAAAGGAAAGGAAGTTGCCTAATAATTATGCACACCTGATATAGGGTGTTGATGTCATTAGACCACACCCCTTCTCATTACAGAGATGCACATCACCTAATATGCTTAATTGGTAGTAGGCTTTCGAGCCTATACAGCTTGGAGTAAGACAACATGCATAAAGAGGATGATGTGGTCAAAATACTAATTTGCCTAATAATTCTGCACTCCCTGTATACACATCTTGACACACAGATACATACATACACACACACAGATACACACTGTGTGTCAAGGTGTGTGTATCTGTGTGCCACTATTTGCCAGTGTGTGTATCTGTATGTCAGATTCATACACACTGGCACATACAAACACAGATACACACAACTTGATACACAGACACATACAAACACAGATACACAGACTTTGAAACATAGACGCACACACCTTGACACACAGATAGATACATACATACACACACACACACACACACACAGATACACACTGTGTGTCAAGGTGTGTGTATCTGTGTCAGTGTGTGTATCTGTGTGCCACTATCTGCCAGTGTGTATCTGTGTGTCAGATTCATACACACTGGCATATACATACACAAATACACACATCTTAAAACACAGATACACACACCTTGATACACAGGTAGATACTGTAGCGGTACTTACCTTACCCGGGGGCCGGCCGAGGTCCTCTCTTCCTGCCGCGCTCGGCTCTCGAATGAAGGCGGGCACGGACCGCGAGATGCGGTCAGGTGTCCAGCCTAGTTCTAAGAGCGTGCCGCGCAAAAAATTAAATGTGCTCCCATTGGCCCCTGTCATCCCAGACACTCACATTTTGGGGGCGTGGATATGACAGGGGCCAATCAAAGTAAAGTTTAGGGTATTTATACTTACCTCTCCCTTAACTCCCTGCCCTATCATGGTTTCTGTTTCAGTTCCCTTTAGCGTTTGTTGT